TAAAAATAATGTTTTTTGCACTTCCAAATGCCATTTTTCTACAACATGTAGTAATAAGTTACTTTGCCTAAAAAAATTGGTATTTTACATAACGCCTAGGTATTTCATAAAATACCTAGGTTATATATAAAATAATATTGAAAATCATATGTTTTATTTGCATTACCTAAAATGGGTCGTCAGTATACATAATGCCTAGGCATTTTTCAAAATACCTGAATTATTCATATTGCCGGTGAGGCGGTGACATATATATTATACCTAACAAAAATTAAACCTACACAATTGTAATTTAAAGCTATTTGTATATAAATATAATATATATTATATATATTATTATAAGCTGTATTGTAAATAAAACGATACTATATTGTTTTATTAATAATAATATATCCATAGGTTAGTAATAATAATGTAGACATGTAGTAATAATTTAGTTGTTTCTTTGAAATAATACTTTAAATGTATTCCAGATAAACCAATACTATATTGTTTTAATAATTATAATATAGTATTATTTTGTTGTTACTTTGAAAATAATATTATACATTTAGTCTAAATAAAACAATTCTATATTATTGTATTGATAATAATATTTTCGTAATTAGTTAATAATAATATAGTATGATTTTTTTCGATACTACATTATCATAACACATATAATGTTGATAAAATAAAACAATATTATTTTAATTATATTATTTCAGATATGATGAATTAATAATATTTTAGTATTATTATCATTACGCTTTCGCTATCTGCCTATCTGGGATATTCAAAACATATTTCTCCATGTTGATCCATTTTTTTGGTGTTAGCCGGGGGCACCATTTTAATGATTAATTATGTCATATGGACAATTTTATAAGCTAAAGCTTGCTGAAGCTTTTTCAATTCAAAAAAACACTCCAGAACTCAAAAAATAAATCATAAAAAAATTTCCAAAATTGTTTTTCGTAAAAACTTTCTCCTGGCAATTACAAACAATTAAAAAAAAATTGAGCCAAATCGGCGCAGCCGTTCTCAATTGATGAATTGTTATACATTTTTGGCTTCATTTATATATAATATGTTACGGGCAAAATGGAAAATTCGGACAATGTATACAATGCCCGGGCATTATTAATATTACATTATTAATATTACATTATTATACATAATTAAATAATCATCAATATAACATAATATATAATATATTAATATTATTTTTTTTCTTATAAAGTATAAATAGTTATATGTTACGTCTATCCTTTGGTTAAACACTTATGACATTTTGTGAATGCACTATATATCCCAATAACGAAACCGATAAATATTTTATCTCATATAATTTTGGTACGTACAGTTTTACTTTAGTTGTAGACTGTAGTATACTGTCACTCAGTTTATATTGTGCAGTGCTTAAATAAACATTTATTTATTTAAATAAAATAAATAATTTAATTTATTTTTATTTTAATTAATTAGTATAAATAGTATAGTAGTTTATTGTAAAAAAATAATGTTAATATATTATATTATGTTTTATTGATGATTATTAATTATGTATAGTAATGTAATATTAATAATTTGCAATAAAAACATAATAATATATTATGCAGATTATTTGTATAAATACTTCACAATTTACATTGCCCAATATACTTCGGACATTGTATACAATGCCCGGTCACTGTATACAATGCTCGGGCATTGTATACATTGTCCGAATTTTCCACTTCGCCCGTAACATATATATATATATAGATTTTCGTAACAATATACTCCTATAGATGTAATGATGATGGTTGTACATATTTTGTACTTTATGTTATTCAGCTTTTTATCGCATAATGTATAGGTATACCTGTAAAATAATGATTAATGTTTATTGTCCATTTGTACCCACATGCTGTTTTTAAACCAGTATTCACGTCTCATGATCATTTTTACCACCGCCAATATCGAGGTCCGTTACTCCAGTATCATCAAAGTATATTTGTTGGTATTACCGGTCAAAAACTATTCTATTGATTGTTATTTCATTTATACATATTTCTCATCCTAATTTAAACATTTGTTCACCTCCCCAAACTCGGGAAAATCAATTTACTCCAGTGCCGCCATCGGCTTGTAGTTTTCCTTCAGACTCCTTTTTTTTAAACACAATGATAAGGTTTTTATCCTTTCTCATATTAACGCCAGGTCCGTGAAGTTAGCGGAATCATGAAAAGCATTAATTCCCGCTGTACTGCCAATTTTTAGTACTCAATTAGTGCTTTTAGGATGCACAAAAATAAAAATTAGTACTCCTATTAAGGAGTAACTTAGTAGCTACTAAAGATTACGCAATAATGGGTACACTAGTATTTTTACATTATGTTTATAATATTATTATTTAGATATTATTTGTTGTGAAATTACTGTTATTAATTACGGAAATAAACTATTGTTGGTTTGGAAAGAGTCCTTAGGTCAGTTAATATTGGGGACTTCAGTGATTGACATTCCCAACAAGTTAGGTAGTTTGCCACTGTATTTTCATACCAATACAATATACAGATATCTTTACACACATATTGTATTTATATGGGTATAACCGACGCGTATATATTTCTCAATAATAATAATAACACTTACCTGATTACTTATATTATAATAATTTTAATTTTATTTATTTTCCATATCAATTCACTTATTCACGTAGTAGTCAGAATAATAGAATAGTCATATTATAATTAGATGATTAATTAAATAAATTACTATACATATATTAAAAAGTTGGGCAAATGGATACCCCTCTGCTGTACAATAGGTTTCAAGTGTGTCACTGTAATGGATGAGTCAAATTTTAATTCAATGATATAAAACCATTCTAAACTTAGCCTATTATATTACTATATTATTAATATATTTTACTATTAAAATAATGTACTTTACTATTAGTAATACATTCAGTTTAATTAATTTTTGTAAAAAAAATTGCATTTTAAAATATCATTGTGTATGAAGTATAATAATATAGTTACTTTTATTCTTCAAAAGTTTCAAGTACCCATGAATAAAATTTTTAAATTATAAAAAAATAACTTAATTTTTATTCTTTGTTTAAGTTTTAGTTTCTTCCAAATTTGAACTTAAAATATATTTTATAAAAAAACATTGTTTCATACATAATATATTTTTTTAATTGTTTAGTTATAGTATAAACTACTTACGAGAGACCTTGTTTTAAATTTTCAATACCTATTAGCTATAAACATTAAACATTTTATAATTTTTGAACTTAAAAATAATTTACACATTTTCGTGAGGAATTGAAAAACCTTGAACTTATGATTATAACAACTTATGAGGAACCGTATAATATATTTTCAGCTAATCAATATTTTTGACAAAGAGAACATTTTTTTCGACATTTAAATAATTAAAATAAAGAACAGTTGTTTTTATATTCAGGTAAGTTCTATAAAATGGTACAATTATAAAGTAGGTGTAAAAAAACAGACAACTAAAATTGTATATACTTGAAAAAGCTGGGTTCCGGATTAAAACATTTTCTATTTTGAGTGCTGCCCAAGTATAATTTAGGTTAAAAGGACATGTCACCCCTGAAAAATAAGCTTTTATACTTAAATAAAAAGGCTTACTGAAGGGGTTAAAAACACCTATTATGAATATTGTAGAGGAGGTAAGAGGTTAGTAATTCTGAAATTGAAAAAAAAATTGAAGAGGCCTGCACGTGACCTGTTTTTTGCTCCAAAAATCCGGATTTGGAGCAAATTTTTGAAATCCTATTTCTCAACAATATGATTGGATTTTGAATACGACCAATTATCACGAGCTTTTATTATTTTGATCTAAGCAATAAATTTGAAAATCAAACTTTAATGCACAATGTAGAAAATTATCCTCTAACTAACAAAAAAAAAAAATAATCAAATTTGACCACTCTACGACGTGTGAGACTGTGAGAGTTTTTCTTGTAAAGCGTGTTTGGTACAAAAATCACGTTTTTTTTTTTGGTCTGGAGGCACTTGTGAGTTATACCAGGTATCCGCATACAATCACACTTTCGCAGCTACACTAATTATCATTGACGACTAACACTAATGCCATGGGCGACAGCAACCAAATTGCATATTGCCTTAATATGACCCATTAATAAAGACGCACGAGCAGGCCCCTTAAATGTTATTTAAATGTAATTATTGTTAGGTATTACTTATGCCTTATTTTTATTAATTTAATTTAATTTCATACAATTTTGTATTTATAATATTTAAAAAAAAGTGAATGGGGACTCCTATAATTTATAAACATTTCATTCCATTCAATAATACATTTTATTTATAGACTATAAATAAAATGTATTATTCAAATTTCAAACTATAATAATTAGAAAGAAAAAAATTAATTCATTTTATACAGTGTTTTTTCAATATATCTAAGACACTGATTAAACAGAAAATATTCTAGGTTGTTGGCAAAGCTATTATTGTATGGTCATAATTTAAAAAAAAAAATTATCATTTTAGTTTTTCAACCCTTTTCTAATTCCTATTTAGAAATTCTATTCATTTAAAAGTATCACTTGTTTCCATTTCAATTTTCCTAAAAGTAAATTGAAATCCACAAAATAAAAAAAACATTTTGAGAACAATGCAACTTTATCACTGAACTATAGCTCAGATTATATACACACATTGTACTTAAATATTTTTATTGATAAATTCAGCAAATTCATAGTGTTCTAAATAAATTTTTTGGATTAATATTCAATTGAATGAGTAATGTTTGCACAAATCTGAAAGCTTCATGTAGTATTATGTAGTTTTCGAGTATGCACCTACTTATCTGATTATAAATGTTCATTATGTACTATTTAATTACTAATTGATTCATTAATAGACTGTCCAAAATCCCCTGGCACTATTTCATAATGTTTAAGATGACTAATTCAATTACTTAGTATACCACATATCTCCCATATGAGTTTGTCAATTAGAATTTAGTATAAATAGTTGTGAAAGATTGAATAAAATTCATTTTACATTCTATTATTGCATTGAAATAACAGACTGTGTTACATACTTATTACAATATGAATTTTTCGCTGAAATATATTCACCTGCTGGTAAATAAATTTATTTTTAAGTTATCAATTATGATTATTTATGTTTTATATCATAGGTTCCCAACCTATGGTCCGTGAGACATTGCCAGGTGGTCCGCGAGCCATTCTTATAAAATGTAAAAATATTTTAATAATTTCATTTTCCTTTGAGGCATAACACTAACTATTGACAATCGTGTATAGTACGTCGTTTCTTTATAAATTTATATTACATAGTGAAAACCATGTTCTTAAAAGCCTCTTATTCGCGTAATAATAATCAAAATTCTAAAATATGTGAAAAAAAATTGATTCTTATTTGTAAGAAAAATAAGGTATACAATTGAGGTGGTCCGTGACGTATCGAAAGTTCTCATAGTGGTCCATAGTACCAAAAAGGTTGGGTCGGTTGGGAACCACTGTTTTATATAATATGTGTCTAAATTTTATAATATTTTAATAGGTGGCGTTCTTACTTCTTTGGTGTTTTGAATCTACTGTTGAAGCGAATGAAATTAACGTCAAACAACTGAAGGTAAGTTATAAAACTAACAAAATTAATTATATATTTTGAAAGTAGCTAATTTGCAAAGAGAGGCAAGTTAACTAACTTTTGCAACAAGTTTAAATCATAAAAAAAAAATTTAATTAATATATTTTACAAATGTTAATTTTAATTAATTTTTACTGAAAAAATTGCATTAATTGTATTATAAATTATTAGAAGAAGTTTGTACGAATAAAAGTGTTTATGTAACGGGCTAAGTGGAAAATTCGGACAATGTATACAATGTCCGAGGTATATTGGGCAATGTAAATTGTGAAGTATTTATACAAATAATCTGCATAATATATTTTGTTAGATGATCCTGATAAACTAATTAACTAATATGAACTTATAATCGCCATCTGATTGTGCTTGCATGTCGATCAAGTCAATTTGACAGCGAGAATTGATTTCAGAAGATATGATTGGTTTTACAACCAACCCTTTTTTAGCTGTACTTCCCTTCTTTTTACACGATTCGCAATTATTTAAGTATAACATTATTACATTTCTAGTTATATTTTTGTACTTTTTATTAATCTCGTGTTCCATTCTATTTCTACCTCCATGTCCAATTGACAAATTAACTTTATGTATAATATCATATAACTGAACATTATGCACATAATATTTTATTTCATTACCTTTAAATACATTTAAAATTTAATTAACTAAAAAAAAATTGTAATACTCTTATGTAAATAACCATATAAACGAGTATAATTAAATTAGTATATAATATCATTGATTAGATATAATAATATTATGCAGATTATTTGTATAAATACTTCACAATTTACATTGCCCAATATACCTCGGACATTGTATACATTGCCCGTAACATATATTTAAAGATTTCTATTTCTATTTAATGTGTCGTATCTTTATGTTTAATACCAGTGGTCAATACATATATACTTACTTAACAAAGAGCAAAGGCGGTGTATTATAAATAGGCAATAGCTCCTTATAAATTGTGAATAATAAATACAAATGTAAGTATTAAAACAAAAAGCCTGTCGAAGATAGAAGTCTCTACAAAGGAATATTATTTTTTAAATTACAACTATTTTTTCACAATTCAATTCTTTAGTGTTTCCTTAGTTTTTTTGAAAATACTTGAAATTGATATCCAAAAGTACATAAACCTTTTCCTATTTTCTATCAGAAACCACTTTCGAAATTGAATATTTAGGCATTTTTTTAAAAATAAAATGTGGAGAAAATACACAAGAAAACAACATTTTAATATCATTAATATTGCTCTGCTCAGAATCTAAAATTGTACCTACTTCAGTGGAGGTGCCAGGGGGCAGGGACCATACTAGTGGCCCTACCACAACATGGACATTATAATATGCTAAATTTCATAAGCAGAAAATAATGGTACATATTTGTATGTTGTTCACTGTATGTGATTTAGAATATTTAGATTAATATACTTCTATATAGAAGTATACATATAATATATATATTATATTATAACTATTGATAGTACTTTTAGCATAAATAATACTCCTACTTGTAAAATTGTATTGGTTTTATTACAAAGTATTCAGAAAGTATATTACTCGTTATTAGTTATTACCTAACTACAAACCTACGATAACGGTTAATGGCATTAATATGTTTTATGATTAATGATTATACTATTCAGATGTATAGATGTATGTGAACGTACATTTTCATTAATACAACAAGTAAATACTTATTTAGAAAATAGTTTACTAGACATTAATATTACAATTTTAAGCATCATATCAATTGAAAAACGTGAAGCAAAGTCACTAGATATTGATGAAATAATAAACAAGTTTGTAGATGCACATAAAAACTCAAAATTATTTTGAAGTAGTTTTTTTATAGTATTGTAATTATTTATATAGTTTCAAAATATTGCAGTAAATACATCAGATTAATTGTTTTTAATTTATTTATTTATTTTTCGTTGAGATCTCATTTTTGATGGCCCTATTAGAAACAATCCGCCATTGACCTACTTCATGTATAAATCAGAAGATTTTAAACAGAAGTAAATAGTAATTTTTAGCATTTTGGAGGTACTTTCATATTAGGCACATTTTAAATTTAATAGTTGTTATTTTACAGTCAACATATTATTTTATCATTTAATTATTTATTTCATTTTTCTATGTTAACTTTACAAGGACCTATCAGGGGTATTTGCTCATTTTTGGCCAATACATCATAGAACTACAACACCTCATCCTTCAAAGTCAACAACCGAACAATGGAATACAACTACTGTGGCTAATCAAACAACTTCAAACCTTTGGAATACAACAACCGAACAATGGAATACAACCTCTTCAAATCATTCAAACTCAACTAGCCAACATTGGAATACAACTACTGCAGCTCCTCAATCAACATCATACCTTTGGAATACAACAACCGAACAATGGAATACAACTACTGTAGCTAATCAGACAACTTCATACCTGTGGAATACAACAACTGAACAATGGAATACAACCTCTTCAAATCATTCGAATTCGACTAGCGAGCAATGGAATACAACTACTGCGGCAAATCAAACAACTTTATATCTTTGGAATACGACAACCGAACAATGGAATACAACTTCTGCAAATCATTCGAATTCGACAAGTGGACAATGGAATACAACTACTGTATCTTCTATAGTAGATTAATAGTTAATAACATCATATAACTATTCTTAAATACTACTATCTTCATTGTTTTTACACTAGTCTAAACATTTGTAATAATAATTCAAATAATTGGTATTCTATAGCACAAATATTATAAACTTAATATCATCGACTGGTACTCGGTATAGTTACAATCTCATTGGTCATGTCTTGTACTGGGAAATTAAAAAATATCTGGATGGATTCCTACAACTAAACAATTATTGTATTAGGTATTGAATCATGAAGATAATATTATAAGAATAATAAATAAAATTAATAATATATTGTGTAAATATTTAATATTATGTAAATGGTTTTATTTTGAAATTTATTTTATACATATATATGTTTATTTTATCCAGGTAAAGATATTGAATTAATTTTACATGGAAGTAACTAGTAATAGTATAGCCGAATTCACGGGTACATTAACTTATATGTACTGGCTAGAAGTTAGGATCAATTGAACTCTGGAAATTTAAAGGTATATCATAAACATTCTTAGTTAGTGTTGTTAAAGAATTATGGTTTGAAATTTATACTAAAATTAATACGGATATTCAGAATACAATAAAAGCCTCATAAATCAACACTTAACAAGCAACATAGCAAATATTACATTTGCTATTATATTTATAGGTATATATCAAAAGTTATAAATGTAACACATTTTTTTTTATCTAAACCAAAATTCAATCGGTAAAATTTTAAAGTGGTTATCATTAGATCAGTAAACTATTATCTTGAATATAGCATTGGTAATTAGTTACACTAATAGCAAATCAGGTATCAATAATATATTTAGTTAAATAACAAACAATGAGTAGCCTTCATACTCAGTAAAATGAAATACCAACAAAAAACTGAATGTAATTCATATGAAATACTGTATACACATGAAGATATGAAGGAATAATTTACTTCATAAATAATTGCAGGCTTGTAATACACTGAGCTTTAATGAATAACATAGAAATAACTAGAAACATCAAATAATATTTAACAAAAATGATTTACTAATAAGTAACAAACACATAACTATTGAAGAGTTATTTATGACAATAAAGTTGTATGAAAATTGTAAATTTAATACTATCTGAGAGTCATTATTCAACGTATGAAATAAAAATAGAAAATGTAAGTGTGAGCTAGAAAAGGTTGATTGTATCATTATTTAAATCAATAACATAATGACATTTTATACATTTTTATGTTTCAAAAATATATTTATTCACACATGACCATCCAAAAGTATGAAATACTTACATTTTATATATGTTTGTTTTTTTTTATATTATAGAAAACATTAAAAATTAAAGAGAAATATCAGATAAATGATTTAATAAAAGTCAGGAGTATGTACCAAACAATAGAAAAAAAATAAAAATCTTATGAAATACTGTCGAGTAGAAGTACTATATTGAGTAATTAGATGGAATACCTAACACATTTTTTATTATTACTCTTAAAGTTTGTATTACATTGGAGCAATAATGATTAACATGAAAAGAAAGCAATAATAAACAATGATGGGCAAAATATGATTAACTTTTAAGAGACAAACTTAGAACTGTCGAAAATAATTTATAATTATGTAGTTGTACAAAAGTTAAATTAAACTACTATGACGGAAAACTTAAAAATGAACGTATAATCAAAAAGCAAATTCACATGAAAACATTTAAATGGACAATGTTAGATGACTATTTTGTACATAGAATTCAAAGAGTATAACAGACTTTTAAAAAAAAACATTATTATTTTTTATATTATTAATAACATTATTATGTTAGAATAAAATGATTATTCTAGAGTTAATCTAGTACATAGTAAATCCTAATGTATCGCCACAGTTGCATACAGTGTGACTTACAAATCATAGTTTAGTTGTTTGTGATGAGGTTCAAGGAAAAAAAAATATAGAAACCGCTCTTGCAGTGGACTTCTTTAACAAACGTTCATCCATTAGCCATGTATTAGAGGTAACATCACCTTAAGATCTAGAATAAAAAAATAAATATTAAAATCATTACAATCAACACTAAAGTAAAAATGAAAAAAAAAATATGTACTATATCTCATTGTATTTCCTTGGTATAGTTGTGACAAAATTAAAAAATTAAATAGAAACATCACATAAATGATTCAATGTAGGTCGGATATCTATACAAAATGTTATGCCTGAGATATCATTGACAGTGATTGAACCAGAAATTGGAAAAAGAGCTGAATGTAATTCATATGTAATACTGTAATGCACAATAGTACTACATTTAGTCAACAGAAAATATGAATTAATAATTTAGTTCATGATTACGTACAGGCTTGTAATACATTGAACTATAATGAAGAAGAGAGCACTTGTTTTCTTTGTATATGACTGTTCTTTTATTAGTCACATATTAGAGGTATGATTGCCTTATAAATAAAATAAATAGGTATCAAAATCATTACAATGAACACTGACAAAAGATTGGAGAAAAATTTACCATGATGTAATTTTTTTTTTCCTTGTGGTATCTCATTGTTTCAAAATATAATTTGTAGGTATTATTGACAGTTGTGTTTACCAATGCTTGTTTTTAAATATTATTTTTGATGTATGAGAAACAACAATTAATAGCTAATTAGAATTATATAGTTATTGTTGTGTGTAATCATAGATTAAGAATCATAATACCTAATAACCTACGATTGGGTATTATTTTTTTTATTGTGTTAAAAAGTACATTGTGTGTCACAATCACTTTTATTGTTCCTGCCACATCAACTTTTACTATTTTATTTAATTAATTGTATAACAAATTACTTACTTTTAGGCATTCATATAAAATATTTTATAATATTGTTTTTTTATGAGCTCACGCACTGTGCAATAGTCTTATCTTTGTCAAAGGTTTGAAAATGGAGCCATGTACCTTTTTCAATCTTGCCGATCAAATTTTCATGTTGTGGAGTGAATTGATAATTTATTGCTGAATTGAATAGTGAATCCTGGAATTTTGTTTTAAATATTTGGTAGAAAAAGACTTTTGTGACTTGCTTTAAAACATTTTCTCCCTATTTGGTGTTATTTCCACCATGTTTACGATCTGTCTGAGCTCGCAGGATTGCACATTTTAGCCTGTAATAAGGACTGAAATCTATAATTTCATACATTGTCAAATTATGGGGTTTTTTTTTTTGTATAGCAGAGAAAATGTTTCAATCTTCATTATAGTTAGATGTTATTGGTAGAAAATTGTAATTTGTACTTTAGGAAGGATTTTGTTTTAAAATATAATGATATTCAAAATTAATGGAAAACTTTGAATGGAAAATGTACAATATTATACTATTCTTTCAAATATTAAAACAGTTACAATTTTATAACTAATGAAACTACTAACACATTTTATAATACATTGTTTTTTTCTATGATCTCTACTAATGATGCAGATGAAAAATATATTACTGAATAGGTATGTAACAACATATAATACAAAAATTACCAAGTGAACTATTACTTAAGTCCGAATTACAACATGTTGATACTTGATTTGATTGTTTTAAAGCTGTACTATAAATTATAATCATACTTTGTTTAAATAAATATGAAATAAACTTACTAAGAAGTTTTATAATATCGGAGGTCAAGAATCTTAGGCAGTTCAACATTGGCACACTGCGATTGCTTCACGACCAAAAAAAAAATTACTGCTGAAATATTAAAATCGGTATAAAAGATTACCGTATTTTGATAACAACAGAAATGATTATAACACGAGCGTCTCGGGAGCAAAATTGCGCAACCAATCAGAGGTGTTCACATTTCTTATCAATATTTGTTAAAATCACATTTCTTATCATTCGTTATACAAATTATAACATGATAATAATTTATATTGTAAATTGTAATATGCGGTGAATGGTAATATAATATAATATATTGATATTATTTTAGTTACAAACTTAGTACTTACAATGTGAACACCTCTGATTGGTTGCGCAATTTTGCTCCCGAGACGCTCGTCTATAAGGATGTTATTGATGATAATACAAAACGACATTTGAGTTCCGAAGTTCTACACCTACCATCTACGTTTTTTTATCTGCCAAATTAACTGTACCAAGTATCCAGTTTTATTAATTTGTCTGTTGTCATAGTATTCGGATAAAACTTCTGAAAACATATTTTAATCCGTCATGATCTTTAGGTACCTACCTACTTGAAAATAAATACGAGTTTACCTCTACCTACCTAGGTACTCAAGGAAGAACGCCTCGACAGCTGAGACTGAGCGATATCGGCCGACGACTATTCTAAATACATTCTTAAAATAGTCACTGTTGCCTATCTGAAATATAATTAAAAAGTATACCTAGGCAATGCCGGCGCTAGGTATTGCGGGGCCCTGGACAAGGTATTAGCCATTAGGTACTAAAGAGGAGGTAAAATTCTAGCTTTTTTTTAAATCAGGATTTAAAAATTAAATATTTTTCGAATTTTTCTTCGAATTTTAAACATTAAAAATAATAATATTAGGGTTTTCTTATCCTTTTTTTTGTATTATAATGTGTTAACACAAAATTATTTACAACTAATAAAATAATAACTCATTAGGTACATACAACAACAATATTATATAAGTAACTGAGTAAAACCTCCTTTATATAGGTTGACGGAAAAAAATCTTGTATCGAATGTTAAAGTACTTACCTGCATGTAGGTACGACTATACTGCATAAATAATTGAAAGATAATTTACCAAAAGCAAGCTATTATTTAATATTTATGTACCTATATATATAATAGGTACTTTTAAGTATACAATATTCTCATAATTAAAGACTAAATATCATCAGATTATACGACTCACTTTTCGATGCTGAGAGACCTAAATAGTTTTATCTAAAGTCTTATCACAGAATCTAATACATATTCTAATATTATTTATTTATTTATCGCAGCATACAGTTGCCGACATCAAAATGCCTAATAAATATTTTTTTTTACACAAAATTATTTTTTGGATTGACATTTTGAGTTGCATGTGCATTAGACTTAATCTTTTTCAGCTTCCATGAACTGTTGCTATTGTCCGTTAAACAAATGATATTTTCCATAAATATTTGTCAATTGTTACTAAATTCGTTTAGCATATTGTGAATTGAGTCATCGAAGCTCGAATATAAAGTTCTAACAGCCTGAATGATTATAATACCCATCAACTGTTACCAAAAATAATATAAAAATGATATTAAATAGGAAGGTAATAAAATATAAATGACTTAATAACTATAATCTATAAATCATTGGCGGATATCCGGGGGGGGGGGGGCTTTATAGTATAAATAGTTACATGTTATAATATAATCCTATGTGTTTTATTTTGTGTTCGTCTCTACAACAACAGCTATAACATTTCGATCATCTCCGTGAGTCTACTGGTACTTGTATACCTACCATGAAACCAACTTCTGCCGATTTAGTTTTTTTTATATATTCCATAGGTACTTGTAATGAATAACTTTATATCAATTTTATACACTTCCGAGTTCCAACTTGAAGTTCTATAGACACCTAGTAGGTATATTGATACATTTTATACGTTTAGGTCTAGATATTTTAAAGAATACCGGATTCAACAGTTCACCGGTTATAAATACTCGTATCAATAAATAAATAATAACTAAAACATAACTAACATAAATAAATGCTGAAATATTGCTATATACATAATATATAAATTGTTATATGTATAGCTACTGTATATGTACTCTTAATTAGGCACCTACGTTTACCCCCTACGTTATACCTACCCACGTATTAGCTACATATTATATAGTATATATAATACATTAGTACATATAGGTACTTAAATATATGTGGCTATTGTATATCAATTAATGTGTTCAAACAGTTAATAAAAATAATAATTATAATATTATGGTTAAATAGATTTGATACCTATACTTTTTTAAATCGTGTTTTTAGTCATTATAGCTGCAGTCTTATACATTTAATAAATCGATTTTGGTTTCCAAGGCACCCGATAACTCATGTGTATAGCCGGTACCTACCTATGTTACTTATTACTTTAGCATTATACTTGTAATGGTAAGATTAAATATTTCTACTTCGATGATCAATACTTATCCATCGGTGTAGGCACGTTTATAGTTTATACACGAGCACGTTTATTCGTTGAATATTACAATAATTATCCATTTAAAATATGTAGTTTAGCAAGTTGTCGTAGTTGTGCATTATATAATTTTGTATGATCAGTTGCAGTGTACATTATTATTATAATTGTAATATGTGTTTGGTATAATTATTCATAAGATATCAAAATGAAAAAAACTCGTTTAAAAATGAACAAATGCCATGTTAAAAACTCGGAAAAGTGTACGGAAGAGATTTCAACGGATGGCGTCCACCCTCCGCTGTTCTGTAGTCATACTTGGACTAAATGTGTTCCAATCAGTGTAAAATTATATTTAATTAACGATACAAAATTATTATAATTTGTTTTGAACGACGGTTTTATGATGTTTTTTAATAATATTTACTTATATTATAGCATCGAGATCATCTGATGCATCCGTCGATGTCCATTGGACGCAACTATAGACTAACCCTCGAAAAGACTTTACGAAAAATCAACAAGTCACGGGAAACGACTATTAGTTGTAAAATATTAGACGAAGATCGTCATTTATTAAATCGTACACGGCAAAAAGGCGAATCCGAACCACATAAGACAAAACCCACAAATGATTACAAATGTACCGGCGTCGTGCCTTTAGCGGTAAACCAATATATATATTATATTTTATGTATTATACAGTAGAAGCCACAATATAAAATCACAACATATTGTTGTCAAAACTACATATTGATTCATCTTATTATCTCCGGCCTATAGGTACCATTGCATCGCATTATTTATTCTTTTTACAGGATTTGTTGTCGGGAAAATATTACAGGGATATAGCAGATCTGAGGAAACAAAAAATGATTGAAAAGAAAATGAAAAATGAAAAAGCTATGATAAAACCAGAATTGCCTTCAAAGTAATTAACTATATACATAATAATAATTATTATAGGTATATATTACCCATATACCTAATGCCAATTGCCGACTAATACATTTTAGATTTTGAGCAGAGCGATGAACGTATTGATTTTATAACAATGTGTTTTTTGAGACCTTTTGGTACAGAAAAAATGCTTCGATTTTCTACTCCAACATTTTTCATGTTGTAAAATGAATATAACTAGTATTTCGGGTGGTCAAAAGTTGAAAATTCCCAATAGTTTTCAAAAGCGTCGGAACAAATGAGATTTTTACATTTTTTTTTTTTTGACAAAAACGACATTGATTTTTGATGTAACTCTAAAAAATTTGCAATAGATACTTGAAATTTTCACCGAATATTTATATTAGAATTTTTTACCATAAAATGTTAAACATATTATGACTGTTTTTGAGTTCTTAAGGAAATTTATATTTTTATTATTTTTTTTTTATTATTGTCGATAAAAAATGTCTGCTTGGTCGAAAACATTGGAAGTTTAATGCAACTAATGCAAGGTTCTTCATAAGTTGTAGTTAGTGAAAAATAAAAAGAAAGTTATGCTTTAATCAACAATATTTTTTAATGAGCTTATTTTGAAATAAAAATTTCGACAAAAATCATAAAAATCACTAAAATTTGCAAATTATTTTGAGTTAGAAATTCATAAAATGTTTTATATTTATATATAAGCAGATTAAAAAATTTTAATTTTAATACATGATTCATAAGTTTACCTTTCTTCAACAAAAAAAAAAATTACTAGAAAGTCGAATTAATATCTATTGAGCGTTTGAAACGATTTTCTTATTTTGTTGTAATTAAATAATTATTAACTGTGAGTATTTGAAATGTTCACCAAATGTTTACCTTTTTATTTTCTATACATAATATAATTATCAAAATATTTTGACTATTATGAGCTATTTTAATCATTTTTAAATTTTAAAATGTCAATAAAATGTGTTTGTGTTTGGTCGAAATGCTTAAATATTTAATACATGGTTTCTCATAAGTTTTTAGTGTATCAGCTGATGAGTATTAAAAATCCGTTGTCACGCCTTCTTTATAAGTATTTATATTTTATAGTATTTATTATTATAAAATCAAATGTTGACAAAATTCATCAAAATCTCGAGAATGTTTAAATTATTTTCGGTTTTAGCCATTATTTTGTATTTATAAATTTATATAATGTTCAATTGTATAGCTAAGGATTAAAAATTTAAATAAATACTTTATACTGTAACCAAAAAATATAAAAATTATATAAGTACCTATAGTTTTTTTTATGGAAATCTATCTTATAAGTTTAAATTTGGACGACATTAAATATTTCAAACGAAAAATAATGATTTTAGTTATTATTTGGTGTAATTTAAAAATATTATTTGTGGGTTCTTGAAACTTTTAAACTATACTAGGTATTATATTTTATACTCACAATGACATTTTTCGTCAAAAATTAATGTAACCTATATTGTAGTATAAATACTATAATACTATACCTAATAATAAATTAATTGCTTTGATCACAATAATAATATAATAAAATATATTTAGTTACATAATAAAGACTGGCAGACAGTCTCCGCTCAGAATCGTACTTCATAGGTATCAAATGATTTTATATCAATGAATTCAAATTTAACATAGGTATCTATAATCTAATACAAAAACTCCTCTAAACACCTAGCTACGGTACAATTGCCAATTTTTTTAATTTTAATTAAAAATGTTTTCATGTCTATTTATACATATTATTTTATTTTATTTTGCCAGTTATATTGGTTCATCGTTTGAAGCTTGTACTGCTATGAGTCCTGACAAACAGCTTAATATACTTAAAGATATGTGGAGGAGAGAGAAAAACATTGAAATCGTCATAAGTAAAGAAGACAACGAAACAATTGCATACTATCTGAACGGAGTGAGATGATATTTTGAATATATTATATTATAATATTTAATACAGATAAGTAGATAAAAATTATATTATTTTTAATTTTAAGCTATTTTCTTTACATATTTTGAAAAACGGGATATTTTAGTGTTCTGGAACCTTATATTATGTCGGGACAACGGGACAGACTATTGAAATACCTACTGTACTTTCTCGTATAGGTACAATGGTATGTCTGGCTACTCTATTTTAGAATAGCGCAAATAAACACTCGTTCTACTGACATCTTTGGTGTCGATAATTATTGAAATGTAATAATGTAATATTGTCCTAAACAGTTCAATCGACAGTGTATTAAGATTTCGTAATACACATGTGAATGATAAATTTGATATGAAATAATATTAATCTCTTAAAACATAATGTAATTATATAATATTATTGAATGAATTATTTTTACAATTATGCCTAATTTTTTTTCATTTACAATCAAAACTGTAATCTCTAGCCATCGGAAGTTGGCAACTTTAATAAATATTTTACGTCTTAGATACATTTATAAACGAATCCCAAAAAAATTTTGTAATTTGTATAAATTTTAATTTTTAAATAATGAATCAAATATTCTAATATTGAAAAAAATATTCTTATACATAGTATTGTATTTGATCTTTTAATTTAGTTATTGAATTTTGTTCACCAGGGTATAACTAGTGATTTTTACAATCCGTTTCCAGAACAAGTGTTGGCAAACATAAAGCAAAATCGTGTTAAACCGAATCTGTTAAAAAAGTAAGCTTAACTTTACCTATAACTTACAAATAACGATTGATTGCCTTAGTGAAATAATATGATTTATTCGATCCGCCGAAATTTGCCACGGGAAGTTTTGAACATCACTACGCCGGGAATTAAATGACGAATTGAAAACATTTTGAATCATAAAGAGTCGCTATTTTTAACATGCAACTAAGTGCATGTTTTAGTATTTTTCTGAAAGGAATATGTACCTATTAAGTATTAAGCTCTATTATAAATTGTTTTATAATAAGGCATTATTAATATATTTTTATTTCTACATAACATTTAATATTTTTTACATAGAAATTAGAAGCTAATTGAAATAGAAACTACTAATTATAATTACTATAATAAATAATAAATATATATTTATATTGAGTAAAACTTGCTACACTAATAAAAAACAAAAATAATGTATAAGTATAACTATGTAGGTTTTTTGAACAAGATAAGATTATAAATTAAATTTAAGAGAATTTTACAAATAACCCAATTTCTATCAATGAAAAAAACATGCAAATGCATATAAATCCTTGCCCTTATAATAACTATGATATAGGTTAGGTATAATAGAACTTTTACCAATGGTACAACAGTATAATACTATACAATGTTTAATATACGTAGTACCTAATTTAGTTACCAATTATTATTAGTGTCGTATTAAAGGGAGGGAGGTCCAGTACGGACCCCCTCTCAGAACCCAAAAAAATGGGTAAGTGCATATCTGCTGAACAGTATAGGTATCTATACCCTGTTCAAAATAAGATCATTACCAGGTGGTGGTCAGACCCTTTATTATAGACACTTCCTCTTCCGAGTCGGCAAGCGAGAGCAGAGCTTTGGAACAAAGCCACGCCCATGCACACAACTCGGCAGCCGGGTAATGATTTTATTTTAAGCTAGGTATAGAAAGTCATTGTAAAGGATGTGTTAAATTTGAATTCAATGATATAAAATCATTGAATACGAAAAACGATTCTGAGCGAAGACGGTCTGTCAGCCTATAATATTCCTTGTATATTTGATGATATTATAGTGATTTAAATAATTTATTTTACTATTAGGCATTATAGTAGTAAGGTTAAATTCATATTTGCTAAAAAAATTACATTCAAAAAGTCATTGTGTTTATAAGTTTAAATGTATTTCAAGTACCCATGAATAATATTTTTAAATTACAACAAAATAACTTAATTCAGTATTCTTGGTTGTTTAATATAAATATAATTTAGCTCAAATTTGAACATATAACTATAAAAAAACTGTGCTCATATATTTTTTGGTTTCAGAATAATCTACTTATGTGGAATCTTGTTTAATTCTTCAATCCTTAACTATAAAAGTTGAACATTTTATAAATTTTAACTACGAAATAATTTTAAATTTTAAATTTGATGCATTTTGTTAAAATTTGAAATTTAAATGCCTATAAAAATAATGTTACCTATGTATTTTTAATATTTTTCAACTGCTGTTGTAACAGTATATCAGGGACCTTGCATTAAATTTAAATTTTCAAGCTTTATGAACCAACGAATACAATTTTATTGACATTTACAGAAAAAAAGCTAAAAAATTGAAAAATGAAAATGTTAGTAAACAGCTCAAAACGAATTTTTAAGTATAGGAAATGATAAAACAAACATTTTGTGAAAATTTCAAGTATCTATTTTTTAGGTGCAACAAAATAAGAAGATCGTTCCATGAAAAATTGAGTGAATATCCAATGTTGTAAAAATTTGAACTTTAAACGCTCATAAAAATTGAATTTGACTTGCCTGTGGAATTTTTTTTTATATAAATAGACAAACTTATGAGGAATCTTGAATTATATTTTCAAATCTTAGATATAGAATTAAAATTTTTACGAGTTTCTTACTCAAATAATTTTCAAATTTTCTTGATTTTGAAGTATTTTGTCAAAATTTGAGTTTCATATAAAAATACTGTGGATTTATTTACGGTCAACTTTATTTTTTAATTTTCACTCACAACAACTTACGAGGAACCTTAAATTACATTTACATTTTTTGACAGAGCGAAAATGTTTTTATCGACATTAATTTTAAAAAAGCCACTACTAACAACCGAAAATTTCATACGCTTTAATGGCTTAACATGATTCAGAAGTCGGTGAAAGTTTTATGTATCTACGGTTATTTGTTTTAGTGTTACACCAAAAATTAAAATCGATTTTGTAGAGAACCTAATTACTTAAAAATGTCCGAAAATTCTTGGACCTTCCATCCCCAGAAAAAAGTTGAAGATACACCACTGATAAACATATATGTTATTGCCAATGTCCGCAGTTTGGTTAATGCTGTCCGTAGTCACCGGTGAATGTAGAACAACAGAACCTGACTTGGTGAACATTGAAAAATCGAAAAATCTGGACAATTAGTGATGGTCGATATTTACTTGATGATTTTGGTGAATGTTGACATTGGCACTCAATATGCGGGTTGTGTTCTATTGACATTGACATTGACATATTTATTATTTTTTTAAATATACTGTTGATAACCACTAACCAGCTGACCCAGTGAACTTTGTCAATGAATGAAGTATAATATATCTTTTAGCTAAACTTAAATATATGATTTTAATTAACGTAATAAAATGAATCCAAAAAAATGTATCAAGTTCAATAGTTTATTATGATAATATATAATATAAAGAAAATAAAGATTTAATAAAACTTCGAAATCAAGTATTACAAAGGCGGATAGTCATGAAATTTCTTTCACTGCGGCCCCTATACCAAATATTTTTTTTTCCAAAAATAATATTATTACCTACACTGGATTTCGGTAATGTACTCGACGACGGCGACATCATTCGCAAGATTGTAAAAATAATTTTCAAATTATGCCAACTCGGATTATTATTGGTCGCGATAATATATGTAAGGCCGTCGTTCTCGCTTGTTTCCTATTTCTTTAAATACAGGGAAGATTGTCACCATCCGCCATCGCGTTTTTATTTTCGAAAAATACTCGACGACCCGTAATCGCGTGCTACTTGGTGAAAAGGGGGAAAAAATTATAATTACTTAACTTTAAGAAGACTTTTGAAGCAAACCATTTTTATCAGCAATTTCAGTTTTTACAACCAGGCAAAATGAGTCATGACATTTTGTAGTGCTCACATTTATACTACCGTCTACCATCATTTTTTTGAGATGAACTTCGTTTTAGAATTCCATCACTCTTGCCCACTAAATTAAAATTAGAAGTAGAAGATCATTGCAATGGACTTTGTTAGCTATAATTAATTAGCTAATTTTCTTTATACACTAAATAGTAAATACTGATTTTTGGTGTATAGTTGATTCATAAGTTATAACATCATCTTTATAGTAGCCTATTTATAAAAAAAATTATTAAGACAAATAGTATGACATAGGTTGTTGAGTCTGGTCATACGATTTATCAAAATATTATATCAACCAGTACGATATAGTACCACCTATTATTATAATATTATTATTGTTACTTTCTTGTACAGTTTTTTATCTGACATTATACCTGGTACATGAGCGCGCACAGACGTATAGTGAAATTTTAAGCAATAGGTATGTCAAGATTTCCCAATGATTCTGGTTTATTTCAACATTCATCGGTGACCGGTTAGGTATTTTTTCTTTTTTGACTAATTGATTTTTAGTAGAACACTAAAAAAAAATTACGGTAGATATAGATACATTACAATTTGCTACTAGTAGCATTTTCTATCCAGTAAAACAATTTTTTTAGTAGTGATAATGTACATTTAGTTGGTGCATTCGAGAGATAAAAATTGATAATGCCTAGTATTTTTCAAAAAACACAAATCTAAAAATAACCTGAGTTCTTATGCAAAACTAGTTTTTGACTGCAGTTTGGTTTTTTTTTTTGATAGTAATAATAATGCTAATAATTTTTCTCATTATTTCCTATTTTTTTTTAAATATTGTTGATAAAAAAAAATTTTCACTAGGTTGAAAAAGTTGAAAATTTAATACTAGGTTCCTCAGTGGGAGTTATTAGCAATTAAAAAATATTAAAGATCCATTTTGGTAAGTTTTTTTTATAAAAGAATTTAACCTTATAAGTTATAGTTATTAACTATTAAACTTGCTACAAATATTTAAGGATTTAAACAATTTTATGTTCAACTTAAAATTATTACAATATTGAAATATTTAAAAAATAATTTTAATTAGGTATCATTTTTTGATGACATTTTTGGAAACTGATGTACGCCAAAATTATGATACTGCTTGCAAAAAAATAATCCTCGATTATATACTAATGGATCCAGATGAATTAAAAAGAATTGGAATAACAAATTACTATAGATCTGATTATTCTTCAATGCAAATTAGAGGTCCGATTCCATGGCATCAAACAGCAATTATTCAAAGAGAACATCTAAGGCATAATTTATACATTTTTAGTGAATCTATTTTAATGTTGAATAATGTATGGAAAAAGTAAGCAAGTTATACGTATTTTTTATTGAAACATAATATTATGTTATTATTATATTTTTTTTCAAAGGTATTCTAAAGGTTATATTTTTCCAATAAAAAATTTAAAAAAAGTTGGTATACCTATAAAACCAAGTTCTTTACAAGAGTTTTTGGATAAATCATGTGAAAAATTTCGGCACAAATTAGTAAAAGAGTATGACATTTCTTTAATACCTAGTTTCTTAAATAATATGGATTATAAAAATATTTTAAATGTAAGACGTTTTCTCAGTTAATTATTGTGATTTAAAAATAAACAATAAGCAATAAATATTCTTTGAGCTCATTGAAAATTTCTTTATTTTATAGGTAGATTATCATTGTAGATGGATTCAGGGTTGACCAATTCTAAATTTCTTTTAGTTGACTATTGTCTACGTTCAGTATGTTGTCATCAAAGGCTTAAAATTGCTTATATATATATCTAGATTGTACAAGCTCGGTACCTACATACATATAAATAATATAATGCTAAAAAAGGTGTACAAAATAGTTATCATAAACTTTAAAATGATTACCTACAATAATAATTAGAAAACAGGTTGTAATTTTTTGCTTCTGAATCTATCTACATTATACTTACTATAAAATAAATTGCGTGTATGTACAAACGTAAAGAAAATGTAGGTACTGATAAGATGGAACGACTTACCTTAAAAAAATTCTATCTAAATGTATATTTACATAATTATATTACATAAAATATTTTATGTAGTTAATGATTAATGTATACAATATGTATAATTTGTAATTCAAAAAGGTGGATTGTAGAATGTGCTGAGTTATTTATGAAAACAAAAGATAGTTACAAAGATTTATTACCAACACACAGCATAAAAGCATCAAAGTATCAAATTCAAAAGTTTTTTGACTGTGTAGCAGCTACTATGTCCAGACAGTTGAGACAAATTGTTTTTAAGTCTTTGAAACATTTCATGAAGGAAATTCTTAAATATAAGGTTAGGTTTGGTTTTATATAGTAATTTTAATTAAATTTCTCATAAGCATAATAATATTTATGTGAGTATCTAATTAAATGTATAAAATTAGCGTTTAAGACACTTAAAGTTTGTTAAAATATGTATGGCTAGATATATTAATATGATTTAAAATTGTTTTTTAGAACGGAAATGTAATAGATTCTGAATTTAAAGATAACATGTTCATAAGTCTACCGTTTTTTGTTCTTCGAGCAGTTCCTAACCCAAATTCAATTCAAATATCATTTGAACCTACACGTGAAGAATGTTTAAATCTTTTGTTGTCAATTCCACGAAAAATAATTAAAACAGTAGAAGACATTCCAAGAGTTGAACAATTGTTAATAAAAAGTAATATAATACAACTATCAAATAATTATTAATTTCTATCATTCAAATTTATTATAAACTACAAAATGTAAATAAATTATTTCAAAAATGTTCCTAGAATTTAAAGGTGATTCTACAATGGTGTTAAAAAATATTTACGAATCTGAGGAGGAAATTCAAAAAATGTTGTGTGAAGTTGGTAAGATTTTAGAAAACAATTTTCCAGGTCCAGAAACTTTCATAACATATTATAAAACCTATTACTATTTGATAAATGGTACGGAAACTAAAGCATTAAATACATTTTTTGCAAGCGACCCGTTTCCATTATTAAGTGTATGTCAAAAGAAACTTTGAAGAGTAAATTGATTGAAACATAAATCACCATACTACTTATATCTTTCAGGAATTTAATGAATGGGTCATCAAGTATGTGACTATAAATGAAGATATTCTTAAACTTAGAGATCGAGTGGAATTGAATTTAATGAAATTAGATGTATCTGAGGTTAATACAAATTTGAAAAATATAGTTAAGGGTTTGAAGAACAGAATTCTTGAATATTTTATGAACTTAACACAGCAAAATATTTCTGGGTAAACAATTTTATGCTCAAATACTAAATTATATACATCATATTTTATTATTAGTGTAAATACTAAATAATAATAAAATAATGACAAAAGTAACAAATAATATTCGTAGGTAAAATATGTTTTTCAGAATTAACAGTGCATTTGAGATAATGTCCACCAAGTCCTCAGAAATGCCTGATACAACTGAAGATTTAGTAGAACTAAGTAATTATGTAACACTATGTCGGGATTCTACATTATCAAAAATGAAAGCTCAACTGAGAACTGTAGGAGATTACATAATGTTTCTGTTTGAATACACGGAATTCAACAGTAATAATATTCCATTTTATTTCTTGAGATTTTATTTTACAAAGCGAATAAACATTAATAGTTGATGATATACATTTGCAATCACGAGTATTTCGATGGCCTCAAGAGATTGAACAGTTTTTGGATTTAGCTACTAGTAGAGTGATTCAAAAGAAAGGGGTAGTTGAAGGCCAACTGAAATCTAAAAAAACTGAATTTGAATTCGAGTATGTGAAAATGTATAAAAATTAGTTCACTATTGAATATTTTGATTTTTATGCATATAGTCTTAAAAATCATTTCAAATTGCTGGACAATTTAAAAAAAAAAGACCCACCAATATTGACTAATGATGAAATCATAGCAGCCACCGAAGAAGTTGAACGTCTTACTAATTTCCTTAAAGAAGATATTGCTGCTGCAAAGGTATAATCTTAAATGTATAGGTATTATTCTATTACATATTATATATTATACACAATAGAACAATAATATAATTATACATTTAAAACAGAAACAGTGTCTATTAGATAATAGTTGATACTTTATATATTAGCGTGTAGGTATATTATTTTAATTTTGTTTATTTTATCTAACAATATCTTAATTTTATGAACTTTGCCTAAACATATTATAACATTATCACCTGTTGAGTTAAACAATAATTCCTATGCCATATAAATATATTATGCAACTGTATACCTTATAGTTATTAACTACTTATTAAGATTAAAATGGCATTAACTAATTTAGAGTATAAATCACACTGAAAAACTTTTGGATGTTGAAGTTACGCCATATACTCAACTTCACTCAATGGTTGCGGCTAGTGAGCAATTTGATCATTTGTGGCACATTGTTCATGATTTCCAGAACTACTATGAAATATGGTTCAATGGTAAAATATACTACGTAGATTGTTTATGTAAAAATGTGAATTAATATATTTTAATAGAACATCATTTAATAAATATTATAGGGCCATTCCACGATCTGAATGCTAAAGAAATAAAGGAAATGGTGGATACTATGTGGGAAAATCTATATAAATTAGCTAGAATTCTTCAAGACTATCCCGGATCAAAAAGAGTAGCAGAGATTGTACGTGGTAAAGTAGATAATTTTAAAAAGTATTTACCCGTGTTGGAGACGATTTGTAATCCAGGTATTCACGATAGACATTGGACAGAGGTAATTTAATTAATACTATATTTATTGTTGCAAATAAATAATAATATAATATGAATTAATTATAATGAAATTCTTATGCACATTAGATTAGCAAAAATGTTGGTGTAGACTTACATCCTAATGATTCATCAACTTTGTCTCAAATGATTGAAATTGGCTTACTGAATTATATTGAAAAACTTGAAGAAATTAGTGTTATTGCATCTAGAGAATATTCGCTTGAACAAAATCTTCGAAAAATGAAAGAAGAATGGTTAACGATTGAGTTTGAATGTAGCCCATATCGAGATAGTGGTGTTAGCATATTAACGGCGTTAGATGACATTCAGGTTATGTTAGATGATCATATACTGAAAGCTCAAACAATGCATGGGTCGGTTTATATAAAACCTTTCGAAGAAGAAATGGATACATGGGAAAAAAAATTAATTTTGATGCAAGAAATTTTAGATCTGTGGATTTCTGTAAGTAGTCTAATCGAAATATTTATGTACATTAAATCAACATAATTATATTTAGGTATTTATTTTCGTTGTTCAGCTGTATACCAACGGACAATGGTTGTATACAAGAAGTATTATTCATAAAGTTTTTAATCCTATATTCCTATTCTTATAAATTTATAATATATCTATCATCTATGATAAATCTATATCTATATATATATCTATATTCTATATCTATAGCTGTACTTCTATACTGCTATATAAAATGAAGTCTCTTTTTTTTGTTCGGGATAAACTACGAAAATACTTATTGGATTGTCGTGCAGTTTTTTTTTAAATTAAAGAGGACATCACAGGGAACATTTAGGCATAAATTTAGTCCGATGAAGTTAATTATAAGTAATTATTTATTATTAAATAAAATAAATGTGTAAATTGTATACCTATATATTGTGAGGCAGGTATTGTGCTCTCGCGTTGTCTGGAAACGATTTTGATTGTTATTTATTAATTGTCGATTGTTGGTTGATTTAATCATTTGAAGGCGTAATTGATTGTACATTTGATTAAAGGTTATTACTTATTAGTAAAGTACTACTCTCATTTTCGAAAATGCCTAGACGAAAGTCAAATATTGATCGATCTCAGAGTGATTCCAAAAGAATGTGTGTAGTACCTAGTGAAAGACTCACGACTATCAAGTAATGATGATGTTGTTAAAGACAGAGGTGCATGGTCGAGAAAAGATTATTCTGCTATGAATTACGAGTTAATGGGGGATTACAAAAATGACTTACGTCAAAAATTATGGTAAACTAGATTTATTCATCACGATGACATGTGATCAACGATGTCCCGAGATTATCGAAGGCATATGAACGGAAGGCTTGAATGATTAGTATGTTAGAGAACTAGCGGTTTTCCATAGTTGGATGCCGTAGAAGTAGCTTAAGTATTTTGATAAAATATGTTAATAATTTTTACGTACTTAACAATATAAAATAGAAGCATTACTAAATGTTATACTTTTAGATTTATACATTTTAAAACTGTGCATATTAAATATTTGAGGTATAGACTATAGAATATAGATGATACAGAATGTTTTATTAAACATCGTCTAAAAACATAGAGAATATTAAAAAAATTGTGTGTAGGTGCAAGGGATTTGGATGTATTTAGGTCCAATATTTAGTTCAGAAGACATAAATCGTCAAATGCCCGAAGAAGCTAGAAATTTTAGAGCTGTAGACGCTATTTGGCGTCAAATTATGATTAACACTGTTAAAAATCGTAAAGTTCTCGAAGCTACAGATTATCCGAATATGTTGCCATTGCTAAAAAAGTGCAGTGTTATGTTTGAGCAGATACAGAAAGGCTTAAACGAGTATTTGGAGAAAAAACGTCTTTTCTTTCCGCGGTATAGCATTATTATTTTATTATTTATGACTAGGGCTCGGATTTATATGTAAATACATATTTTTACTGTGACTTGATAAATTAATTTAGGTAAGTGAAAAATTCGTTTCAAGGGATTTCCAATAAAATGAACTATATTTTATTTTACATATTTTTACATATTTTGCCATAAGTACATGTTTTTACATATTTCTCAATAATTCCATTTTTCCTACATATTTCGATAATTTGTTCATTTACGATTTATTATTTATTAATACAGACTTGCCCATGTTTAAAAAAGTACAAAATAATACTGTAGAACTTTTTCCTTCAGACATAGTCAACTTTCAATATTGTCCTATAACATCAGTCGAAGTTGAGAGATCTTTCAGTCGATATAGATCAATTTTACGACATAATCGGCGATTTTTCGAATTCGAAAATTTAAAAATGCATGTCATTATTAATTGTAACCATAATAATTAGATAGTTAGATAAATATTTTTTTTTATTACATTTCATTTTAATTAATAATAATATTTTTTTTTTTTGATAATACATATTATATATTTTTAGCACATATTTATGTACATAATTTTGTTTTTTGATAATACATATTATACATTTTTTAGCACATATTTATGTACATATTTTTGTTGCATAAATACATACTTTGGTTAAATAAATACATATAAATCCGAGCCCTATTTATGACATTATTGATATTGAGATCCAGTGAAAATTACAGATTTTTCTTTTTGTCTAACGACGAACTTCTTGAAATTTTGTCCGAAACCAAAGACCCATTACGGGTGCAACCACATCTTAAAAAATGTTTCGAAGGCATAGATAAATTAAACTTCACAAAAAGTATAGAAATTGTGGGAATGATATCAGCTGACGGTGAAGTAGTACCCTTCAATGGAATAATTTATCCTGCTGACGCTAAGGTATGGATTATTAATAATATTAATAACATATATTCAATGGTAGTTGAAAATATATTTTTGGCATTGAAATTTTTACGATCAATTTTATGATTCAGGGTTTGGTAGAAAAATGGTTAATTCAGGTTGAAATGTTAATGATGCAGTCAATAAGCGAAATTGTTAACAACGCAGTTAAAGAATACGCAAATATTAAACGTAACGACTGGGTACTTAAGTGGCCTGGTATGGTAGTTGTATGTGCTGCTACAATAAATTGGACTGCCGAAGTAGAAACTGCTATTGAAAAGACATCGCTTCCTGTTAGAGAAGTTTCTTAAGCTAAAAATAACCTTAAAGACGTTAATAATTTAAGTCATGCGTTTTTAGGCCTACCTACAGAAAAGTAATATGCAAATAGAAAATTTAGTAAATTCAGTGTGCGGAGCATTAAGCAAAGGTGAAAGGGCAACGGTGTGTGCTTTAATAGTTATAGATGTTCATGGTAATTCATTTAACATTATATTTATTATTTGTACATATTTTAGGTATATAATATACATTTTGTAGCAGGAAATCATGACAAATGAAATAACTTTTATTCTAATCTTTTTTGTTTTATATTTAATTTATTGACTCGTGCGCTATAACACGTATAACATCATATTTTTTGATACTGAATATTTCAATGTAGCCTAATTGTGAATCTGGTTTTTAGAAAACTTTTGATTGTAAAAACATCAATCTAATTCAAATAAGTAAAATGTTTTAAAATCACTAATTTTAAGTGTATTTACTTGCTGAGAAAACATTTAGAATTTGGCAGCTACCTATTTAAAAATTATAAAATATTTAAAGTAGTTTATACTTTTGGAATTTAAATTGTTTTGCTTGAGATTTCAAAAACATTTAAAAATTATAATACACAACTTCAATAAATGTTTTTACAATCCACATTTGAATAAAAACCAGATTTACAAATTGGCTATTTACAACAGATTTAAAAATTTCTAATTTCAGTATTAAAAAATAAAAATCTCACACTACTTATAATACAAGAGTCTGTAAATAATATAAAAAAAAATTTAATAACTTTGAATAGAACAAAAGGCGATTTCTTTGGCAGGTCTTCTGTTACAATACGTGTATACAAAATAATGCTTTGTTGATGGAAAACGTTGAATAATAAT